TTAACACAGTCTCTTAATCCTACTAATTTCCCTTGGACCATATGATTTCAAGAGAACTACTACTGTCTGAGCTTGAACTAGTCAACATATCATCTTCCAGATCACTCTCTTCCTTTTGAGGATCCTCCTCATCCTCATCAATCTCTCCTTGCTGTTCATTCGCATAATCTTCCCTACTTATAGGTGCAACACCTCTCCCACAACCAGGAGGAAAATCTCGAACAGCATATACCTTTCTTGGATGATAATTTTCAACAGTTACTTTTTCCACCTTTTCCTTGTTCTTTTTCCTAAGATCAATTCCATCATACGCCATCTTTTCATAACTTCTCCAACTCTTAAATATAATCTCACTTCTCGAGGGAATCAACCCAATCGGAATATGGATCAATTTGTTTTTGTGGGCTTTCACACTCTTGCACGTAACAGCTCCAAGCAATGGATTCAATCGATCCCTCTTCAATACTAGATAAACCTTTCCTTTTCTTCCCACTGCTGCTCATGTTCTGTCGCATGGGCACCTCCAAAACTTGTACACAAACATGCATTAATTCTTGACCTCTTACATATTGGAACTAAGGTAGGCTTCTAAATGAATAAGAGTTTATGTAGCCTCCTCCCTTTGATTCGTGTTGTGCACCCACAACCCAATGACAGGACTGTACACTAACTCTAACAACTCCACTAACAAACATAGAAATTTTTAGGACTCAGTTAAACTTAGGGCTCTAATACCAAGTCTGTAACGACAGCTCCCCGATCGCTATCGGCTTTGAAACTTTTGGAAGTAACCGCCAAGCCCCGAACAAGCCTTGTTAAGAACTCTTATTACTTCTATACTCATTCCACCATTCCATATAAATGCTTTGATTCGACTAGGCCTTTGTAATATTATTTGAAAAAATAGTCTTTATAAATTGATTAAACATTTATTCCACATAGTCGTAAAAATGATACATCAAGGTTTAAAGTCTCCAAATGTACATTTGTAATGACAATAATGTCTAATTTCATAACAAACCATACTAAAATGACTCAACCTCTAGCAGTAGCGTAACTTGGAACAAGGTGCTATGAGATGCCTTTACCTATCCGCATAGCTAGAGTTGTTAAGTACTAATTAGATGAACCCCATGAAACATAAAACCCTTGCAAGAGAATTGTAAAGTTGTTACAATTATGAGATCACTATGCATCAAAGCCATATTCTTAAAATTGTTTTTGGTCATTATATTGTCAAGACTAGGCATTGACAATGGTCAAAGACTGGTACATATTAAGCCTCCTTACTTGGAAAGTATGCAATCGATCTGATAGATTGAAGTATATAGGATACTTGAGGATAACATGTGGGTGCTTGTTAAAGAACAAGTTCACTAAACATGACTTGCTATAAAAACTTCATTTGGCATTTCACTCAAGTGTCTAAGGAATATGTTCTCATGTGATAGTCGCGCAACTAATTCTCAGACTTGAGGCACCAGGTCATCTTGTATATAGAATGACATACTTTGATTTTACCTTTACGGATTTAGAATTGACTAGATGCCTAAACAAGGTGTTTTTGGGTATGCCATGAAGCATGTGAAGGTGAATGAATGGTCAAGAGAGGATTCATCATCCCAAGTGATATAAGGGGATATATCTCAATTTTTCTCAATTCTTGATTAACTTGTATAAAGTCTTTGGCCAAGCATGATGAATTTGAGGAAAGTTAGTTTCCTAAATTCATAAAGTTAATCATGAATTATGAGAACTAATATATGAAATGTCATAAGTAGATACCGAGCCATGCTTAATAACATATTCGAGATATTTAATGAAAAGGTCGTATTGCACTGAGAGGCTTAGCACTGAATGACTTTGTCAAATTCTTTAATTAACTCTTTAACATTAGGGTGGTCATGATGTATTGCTAGATGCTGCTCATGATCTATAAATATAAATCAATTATCTAATTAATATTTGATTAGGATTTATATTTATTGCTAACATGTCAGAAGCCTAATGGGTCACACACATTAAGTGACATGATTAGGATTAAATAAGGATAATTAATTAAGTTGGACTTAATTGAAAGAGACCAAAATAAAGTGAAAATTTGATTAAGTTCTTAGAGACTTAATTAAATTAAAATACAATTGTTGTATTTAGGGTTACAACTTAGTTTGGCTATATAAATATGTTATCTTAGCAAACTAAAACTCTAATCCTCCAACAACTTCTCAACCATTTCATAAAATAAGAAAAAAAATAGTTTTTTTTTCTGACAAAAATAAATTCGGTAAGAATTTTTGGTCTTTTTGTTTTAGAAATAAAACTTGTTAGTACAAGTGAAAGATTTTATCTTTGAGAAGGTCTTATTCTATCACTGTGTGGATTACTATTAGAGGCCAAACACTTGGGTGACTAAAGATTTGATAAATCCTAACAGTGAAGAATCAAAGATTTTGATTTAATTGGCTCTTGATTATCATATCTAAAGCAAGGTATGTAACTCTTAAACTTATAAGTGTTCATAATTAATTTGAAAGTTACATGAAAAATACAAATATCGATTTTGTAGGATTTGACTGTTTCTCTGATTAAATTCTAGTTTATTATTCCACTACATTATATTATTTTAATTTACTAATTATTTTTATATTTGAGTATGAGGTCGAATTCCAGCAAATATTCCTCCTGGGTATTGTAGAACAATGTCAAAATTTGTGATAAAAATGAAATTGTGTTTCTTGATGTTCGTTTCTTCTTCATCAATCATTGAATAATTTTTCTTTGTTATGCATTTTATAGTTGCTCCTATTAAGGTTCGAGAGTGTTAGTGATATTTCAGGGGTGAGATTTTTGCAGCTTTTTGCACCTATTTCATAGAATTTTAAGTTGTTTAAATTGATTATTACTAAGCCTTTGCTTCTTTTAGCTATATTAATCAATTTGGTGGCTAATTTTTTAAAAAATTTAAATTGAATAACTAAAAATTTCATTATATGTTTCCTTCATCATTCACTGAATTATTTTTCTTAAGTTGTTTTGCAATTTACTAAAAATTATAGAAAGGGAGGAAAGATTGTGGAGACAAGGTATATAAGAGCTATTTTATGTGTTTTTTTAAAGTGGGATGTGGGGTTTGTTTTATTTTCTTTAGTTTGTTTGTAATTTTTTTACCATTTACTCTTTGATGACATAGTGCTAAAAATTGACCATATTCTGGTATTCACACTTTTTATTATTGATGTGACTTAGTTTCAATTATGTTGCAATGTGTACACTCTATTGTTGGTGACAGGTGATTAGAGATTTGTGATTGACATTGAAATGGATTAGACGATGTTAGCTTGCTTGCAAATGAGAGTCTTTCAATCTTTTCTTGGTTCTTACAGTTTATTGGTAGAGTTAAAGATAGACATAGATTATTCATTACAATCTGTGTTTTTGGATCTTAAAGCTTTGCATGGTTTGTGAAATAGGAAGAGTTTTGTTGATTTTATAAATTCGATATTTCTCTTAATTTGCATATATTTCATAGGTTAAAGCATCTTATAATGTGCAGAACAAGTCATGTAATATGATAGTGCTAAATCGTTTGTGTTCAAAATGCAAATTAGAACATATGAAACTGAATTTTGAGCTACTCATTGATGTTTACATTTTGTAACAATTTTTGTACATTTTGCAACGAATATTATTTACAGATATGTTGAATATTAATTGACAGGATTGTTGCCTTTTTTTTCAAACAACATCCTGTTCATTGATGAAGGCAGAACAATTTGTACATATTATGATTTTTTTAAGTATTTATTAATAAATATTATTTATACATAAGTCAAATATTAATCAGTAAGATTATATTAATAATAGCATTTACAATTCTTACCATCAATTCACAATTTTTGACATAAAGTATTTATAAAATTTTGCAAACCCGTTACGTAGATAAGGGCTTTTCTAATGACATATTATTATTGAATGGATTTAAAATTAATTTTTATTTTTTTCCTAATTAAATTTATTGGCATATAACTTTTGCCATTACTCTATGAAAGAATGAGATGGAGAGGCCTGGCGGTGCACAAAGATTGAGTGATAATTAGTCTTGAGTAACATTCTAACATGTTTCAGTGTGGCTCGCATGGGTGGTTAATTAGTCGTTTTATTATTTATTTATTTATTTATTTATTTAATGACTTTTCGTGATACTGTGTAGTGACATTTTCCAACTTCTAGACTTTTGAACTTAGAATTTTTAAAAGAAAAAAAAAATCCTCGGATATAGACGATATGTCATATCATCATAGTCAACTAAACGGAACTACATTTAAGGAAGCTAAGCAAAATTGGTTATACGAAACAACCGTGTCCTTCAAACTTAGTGGATAATATAATATTTTAAAATTAAATTTTAATAAATTATTTATTACTATAATAATACTTTTGAGTTGTGGAAAAGGCTGTATCTAAAAAATTTTTATCGAAGATCCGAAATCGAATCAAGCCAAGCCGACGAGCAGCCTAATTAGTGAACACTTCTACAAGAGATATAGACAAGCGCAATTAAGTTAAGGAATAGAAATATAACATATATATTTAATTTTTAAAAAATAAAAATAGATTTGATTTTAGAGAATTTTGTGTTGACTTGTTAATTTTTAACAAAATTGATGTATTATGATTTTAAATGTCAAAAAATAAAAAATTTGTCAAAACTACATTTAGAATATAAAAATTAGATTAAAAGATATAATTTTGACATTCAAAAAATTTAAGACAAATGGAGTATTACTTTCTGAAAAGTATGACTAATAGTTATTCATTTGAGAGTGGTGAATATTCGTGTCAAATCCATGCGCAAGACAAAAGTGTGCATTGATTTATTTATGTGGTATAAAGCCAAGGAAATTGAGGAAGTCAACAATCAACAGTCAAAGCCTTGGAAAATTTGGCTGCGTTTTTTAATTCCAAAGGAAACCCAGCTGCCCACGCATTCCAGAATTCACATGGCAACCAAGGAAAACGGGAACATAAAAACTCATGCCTCTCTTCTGTGAATTCTAAAACAACTTCTTCTACGGTCCCTCCCTTCCACCTTCAGTCGCTCAACCACATACCATGGCCGACGACGACGAAGGTTTCCGAATTCCACCCCACAGGAATGTTTATGATCTCAATAGCAAGATCATGCTCACCGCAATTATATCTTTATCAGTAGTTGTTCTGCTTGTCATAATGCTTCACATTTATGCCAGGTGTGTCCTTAGACGCCAAGTGCGCCGCCGCCGTCAAGGCTTTCTAGGACGCATTCGTAGCACAGGTCTAACCACGTCTGGTGAGCCACCCAAGACCGGGCTGGATCCCATGGTTATCAACTCATTGCCTATATTCGTGTTCAAACAAACAAGCGACAACGTCGGTTATTATCATGATGAAGATGATATGTCAACAGAGTGCGCGGTTTGCTTAAGCACGTTGGAGGATGAAGAGATGGCCAGATTTTTACCAAACTGTAAGCACACCTTCCATGCTGAGTGCATAGACAAATGGTTGGCCTCGCATTCCACATGCCCAATTTGTCGAATGGAGGTAGAGCCACGGCTGCAACCGGAGCCTCGTGAAGGTCCGGCTATAGCGATTGTTGATTCTGCTGCTGCTGATGCTCCACCCGCAGCTCAATCACAATCATTGGAAAGGGTGAATTCCACGGGTCATTATATGGAAGGGGCATCAGATGCTGGTATCCAATTATCCTCAGCTAAGATCATCAATTGCTCTAGCTCACGCTTGAGTTCTTTCCGCAGGATGCTTACTAGAGAAAGATCAATGAGAAGAGGTCAATCATGTGAAGAGAATGAAGATGTTATACAAGATTTAGAAAGACAATGATAAATTATTGGTAATACTTAGTCTTTAATTGTTTTTCTTCTGCTTTCTATAAGCAATTAATACTTGTACTTACATTTTATTTGTCTATTTTTCTTTTTTAAAATGTCTCAAAATATGTTTTTTTTCCTTTTTTTTTTTTAACTCTTAATGTCTTATTAAAACGTACATAGACTTTTCCTTTCCCCTTTTGATGGGCAATGCATAGAAATTATTATGCTGATATGGTTGAAAATGTTGTATCAATTTTAAATTCCTCAAAATTGTTTGCTTGGTCTAAAGTCTAAAAGAGTATTTATTGGTTTGGTAATTGGTGACCTAAGAAGAGTTTACCAGTAGGTTCAACCATGTGAACAAGACTAGCTCAGATCTCTACGCCTTTGACCCCAGACTTATGTTATCAGTTTGAAAAATTCAAAATCTGACATTTGAATGATCTCGGACAGAATAGCATGGAAAGCTTGAAATCAGATAAGTCGGCGTTTTTGTTTTCTTGTTGTGCATGTGTTTTGGGCTCCTTCTCTAATAGGAATCATCGCTTCTTCCGGCGTCGTTGTTCGCGCACGGCTAGAGCATGAGGTGCTTTCAGTGACGGACAGATATAAAGCGGAGTGATGTCCTCTATGTTAAAAAGTTTAAAAAATTATATTATTTATATTAAAGTTTTATGTAATTAATGATATTAATAAATTTATTAATTTTTTATAATTTTATAAGAAGTGAGATTAAAGATTTCAAATTAAAAGTAAATTTCGTTATGACATTATTTATAAAAATTTTTAAATCCATCCCTAAATACTGCAGGAAACCTTAACCATCGGATCGGTTCTGGTATGCATGCGCCTATCTGTTCTATCTTTAAATCGGGTAAGAATTGATCATGCTGCCGACTCCCATTCAGTAGGCTCTCGTGTCAATCCTTTGATATTCATATGATGGGCACTTTTTACAGTTTGGAACTACTTTCTTTGACATGTGTAATGCATATAGATGAAGAAATTAGGAGTTTTATCTATAATTTCAATTAATGTGATGTATAAAAGGAGAGAAAAAGCTTAAATACACACTTAAAATACAACTAGTTCCACAACTTTTGTGGAATATTATAGTAAGTGTAACATATGTTATACATTAGCAGTAGAATTTTGAACAATTCAATAGTAGGTTTAAATGCATAACAATTTTTTTTTTGGTAAAAAGTGTAAATAAATAAATTAATATTTAAAATAATTTTTAAATTATTTAAAAAAATTTAAATAAATTATTATTCTATTATTACATTCAATCAAGTTTTTATATTTTTTATTTTTAATTGAATAAATTCTTATAATTAAAAGTTAATTAACTGATATTTGTTAAAATGTTTTTTTATTATTTTATGTTATATATTGCTAACGTAATATATTAATATAATATAAAAAATGATGTGATATGACTTAATGACATAGTTATGTTGCATTTTCACTATCCACATTAATATCATATTAACGTTACGAAAATATAAAATGATAAATAATATTTTAAATAATAATAATAATGATTCATGTTACTAAAAAAATTACTTTTTGACTAGGATGTCAACGGGTAAGGTTTTTGTTAATTTGGAAGTGACCGAACCCGAACCCAAATCCAAACCCAATTAGTAAATAGAATGCTCGAATCTTATAATTACTCGAATATTTTTTAAATTTATTATCTTAACCCAAATTCTAATATATACTTACTTCTCGATAATTATCCAAAACCCGTTAAAAACTTGATTATGTAAAAAAATTATTAAAATGCTCTTCATGGACCCTAATTACCCAAATCCGAATTCGTACCCGTATTTATATATAATAATATTTTTATCCATATTTCATATAATTCACTAAAAATTAGATTTATAAAAGCATACAAATAATAAAATTTAAATTTAAATAATCAAAAATAAATACCCAAATATCAACTTAAATAATTAAAAATAAATATTCAAATAATAACTTAAATAACATTATAAGTTTAATTAACTATATGAGTTTATTATTAATTACATAAAATTGAAAAAAATAATTAAATTCTAAAACTATTATAATCTCACAATTTCTTTTTGAGTATATATTTTATAAGTTTATATAAGTAAAGGTATATATATAATAATTAATAATTTTATAAGTTATAATTTTTGTAACGTTAATATAAAATAAAAAATAAATATGTTTATATATTTAAAATGTATATATAATAGTAATTATATTTTTTATAAATTAACACAATATAGAGTATATATTTTAAAAAATATTACAAATTAATTAATAATTATAACTTTATAAATTAAATTAATTAATAATATAAATTTGTATTTAATTATATAAAAAATATAATTAAATTTAAGCATTGAATAACTAAAAATAATATTTAAATTCGATATAGGTAATAAAATTATTATATGAATCTTGTTATAAGGTATCTTAATTTTATATAATCATATTAAGTATCCACGTGTATCGTTGAAAAAAGTAAACATTATCATCGTCACTTTTGACTTAATAAAAAATAATAATAATAAAAAGAACTGGAATAAAATTTGATTGGATGTAGATGTAGATGTGACAGAAGTTCTGCTCATTGAGTGTGCTAATGGCTATAAACACGGCTTCAGATTGTCCAATTCTTCTTTTGCAGAGACCTCGAAAGTCCAACGGGACTGACTTTTTGAACCCTTTCTGTTATCTTGTTATTTGTTTTCTTTTGCTGACACCAAACAGCGGCCAGGTAACGGGATCATAATTCAAGGAAGAATACGCAGCTATATTGGTTGAGGAAAGTGAGTCGAAACAAGGCTTCTCGGTCTGGTTGGTCCCAAACTTCAACTTCATTCGTATCACTCCAAATTATTGCCACAATTCGCCTTTTTTTCACTGGGGTAACTAAGCACGACATGGTTCCAAACCATTGACGTCTGTTGGACATTTGAGTTTAGCTCCATGAGAGTCCAACCCAACTCAGCCTATTTGATTGAGTCTTCCGAGGTAAAGATTCAGTCTTTTCTCTCGATTATTTGAGTTACTGGTGTTTCTATGTTGAAGGTTTTTAAATAGGTTGAACAGTTTCATCAAAATACAACAATGTACCGGCAGAGTATAGGCGTTAAAGGCTGCCAAAGGACCGACACTCCGAAACAAGCGTGCAAAGCTTTCCCACTATACTAGGGCACTGATAGAATACATCAAAAGGAATTTTCATCCAATGATAAAAAGGTGAAGGAGTTGTAACCTAAATTTATTGTCTAGGAACTCAAAGAAGCGACCCTCCATAGTCCCACACCATACAAGGTACAAAAGTATAAATGTGTTAAGTGTTATGGATCGAGATGAATAGATTTCACTTAATAAATATGCCTTATGCCTTTTGAATTGAAATCGTAAATTTTAACATTAGATACCCATTCTGTTCAAACCGCAAAACTTGATCTCCACTATTATCTAATTCGTCCATACATTAAGAAAGAGACGCGATAAAAATCTTCACATAAATAACAATTTATATCAATCAAGTGCATAATATAATTTACCATAACCGTGCTATCAGTCAATTCTAAGCATGTTCCTATATTAGAGTTGATATATGTCTTATGACCAATTAGTCTCGTATAGAGATACATTTTCTATTATATTTTGCATTACCTTTAATTAATAAAGGTTTTTTTTTCTATGAATTTATACATAATTGCATTGTTTACTATTAAGATAAGGCCTATGGAACAAACATAATGCATTGTAAAAATTCTTACCGAATGCCATTCTAACAAGGGTGAAAGTAATGCAATATTTATTTGACCATTTGAAGCATTCTGATTGGTCAATTGACACAGACATTTTCATATACCGTACACACCATATGCCCAATGTGCCATCATCCCTTTAACTAAAGTAACCATCCCCTGCACAAATTTACCCTCCAATTTTTTTTTTGCTTTCCATTTTTCATATCTTGAACTAAAACATGGGTAGAGAAAATCAATTTCCAATTTTTCTTTCTAGTTCTTTCCTCAAATTTCCTCCTTGTGCAATGCCCATTTTTTCTTCACATAATCCCTAAAAATTTCCATGAATAATTTCTTAGCATTCTATATTTCAACTTACAAAGACCCGCAAAGAAATGTTCATCAAAAACTTCCCAAAAAGGTCACAAGTAAGCTAGCAAAGCTTGCAGAAATTAAAAAAAAAAGATTAATAAAGCTCAAAAAAGGCATTCAATCTAATAGTTTAAATACAGCTTGTGTACAAAAAGCATTTGCTTTTCTACTTCAAGAAAAAATGGCTATGATTTTCAACAAAAACGTGTCATTTCAGTACTCTAATTTTCTGAAAAGATCCTTACAATTACCAGAAACAGATGAGCAACAATTAGCGACCTTAGCCAGGAGTGAGCAATGCGACCAGAAGCACTCAAATCTGCAGTATCTGGTCCCATCCCCAGTGTTCCCATTGACCCAGAAATGCTTGCGTTGTTCACTGTCTTGCTGCATCACCCAATGTACCAAATCAATTCAATCAAAAGTTGTTGATGTTAATTTTTTAAACATTCAATGGCGGTGAAAGGGAATTGGAATTCAGTGAACGTTAATTCAAAATAGTAATAATGAAAACATCACCTGGAAGGAAACTTGCAATCACCATGGCCTGCAACCAAACATAAACAAATCAAGCAATGTATTAACAATTGACAGGGTTTTATGATCGTCACTGACAACTCAGAACTCACTAGGGTTTAAGGAAGTGAGGGCGGCAGTGTTGGAGAAGGAGCAAGCATCATCAGTCAAGCCGTGCTTCAAGTAGTAATCATTGAAGGCATAGGACGCCGTTTTCTGTATATCTGAGGGGTCATAACAGGGTCCGCCTTGCTGGATCCGTGCGCAGTCGGCTCCGCCTGCGCCGCACGCCCAGTCCAGCGCTCCCTGCAGCGCAGCATCCTCCGCGTTGTTCTTCGCGACGCACCAAAGCTCCGTGACCACCGTCTGGGCCATCAACGGCGGCAGCGTCACGAAAATGGCAGACAAAATTACAGGAAGGAATATATAGTGAGACATGTTATAAAGGAAAAGGCGGTGGATGTCTTGAAGGGAGTATGGTATTAGATTTAATACGGGAAGTCTAAGAAATTAATGGAAATGTGGCCGTTGGGATTGTAGGGGTTCGAGGTATTGAGAGATCTAAGAAAGCAGAGCAGAGAGGAAAGGGAAGGGAAGGGAGATTTGGAGAAATCAGACACGCTCCCTTGCGCAAGAGTAAAGTATTGAGTGACCATCTCTGTTTATTGTCTGGTAGCGGTTACCTATCGTTTTTTTCACTTGCGCTATTCTCCTTGGAATGAGGTAACTGCTGCAACAGTCGTCTCTTGGCCTTTTCCTTTCATTGAAGTCCAATATTTTAAAGTCCTTTTCCCTCTACGTTTTAAAGCAACAAATAATTTCATCCTCGCTTTAACGGATCTCAATTGTTTTTGGAAGTATCTTCTCCATAAATTTTATTTATTAAAAGGGTCAGTTTTGTACAATCCATCTAAATCATGCGCATGTTGATTCACTACACTCCGGAAACAGTTACTATGGGATTTTCACTCGTAATTTGCATTTTCTTCTTCTACATTCGAAGTTCAAAGAGAAAAAAAAAAAAAATCTTGCTCCTCCACGAACTCTTTTTTTCTTTATCACTAGCATTTGCCTTTTGTCTTTTTTCGAAGCCAACTAAGAAAAGATGTTCTTTTTTTAATTAATTCCCTAAATTTTACTTTTTTTTCTCTTTCACTTATTTTTCCTTTAACAATTGCTAAATTTGCAAAGAATTAATGCTGAGCAATGTGGAGGTATGCCTTTTGTATAATTTTTATTTTTTTTGTCAACTCTATTTCTTTCCTTTTTCTAACAATTTGAAATTAATCTCTTAACTTGAATTTTGATATGGGGAAGCACCATATACTACTATGGGTTTATATTTCCCTCATGTTCCCTTATGATTCCTCTTTTCCCATATTTTTCCCTACCTTATATTTGGGTAAAATCCAAAAAACTCATTCAAAATATTTCAAAAGAACATTTCAATCCCTCTCGTTTCAAAATAATGTTTTTGGTCCTACACTATTAACACCATTAGTCAACAGTTAAAAAAATAAAATTTAATACTACATAAATATTTTAAGACATAAATATCCTTTATATTATTTTTTTAATTTAAACATATTCTCTTTTTAATAAACTATGTTCATCATCCCCTCAAAAACCTTAATCAGAAAAAGAAAATTAAACATTTTGATTTGAAGGCTAGGAAATTTGAAGCTGCATCTACTTTGAAGACTATAAACTTTTTTCTTGAGTAAAGTCTATTGTCATTAAACTCTCTACTTCTCCAACAATTTGAGAATATTTTTTTCATTGAAAAGAATGTATTAAATGTAAATCCTTTGTTCCATGATGGATATTTCAAATTTGATGGTGTTAGGTCAAGAAATTAGTTTCTTACTCGTGATTATTAACTTTTTTGAAAAATTTTTGCCCATATTTTGTTATTTGAAATTAAAGTTTAAGGTGACGTAAAAGGATTTTGACTTGATTATTATATATAAAAAGTTTTAAGTTTTTTAATTTTGTATCAAATATTGAACGTTATTAAGTATAAAAGTGAGACAAATTACCGCATTCACAAATCCCACTTTAGAATTTTATTAAGTTTTGGAAGGAAACATGAGTAGATTTTTCTAAGAAGGCATTTGTGTCCTAAAATATTTATATAGTATTTGTAACACCCTTAACTTTGATTATAGATTATGGAAATATATTGATTAAGTTATATGAAGAGCTGATTTGAATTTTTTATGTATATTCTTAGAGGTTTGAGAATATTCCTATGTGTATGGAGAATGATCTTAGAATGTATGGTGTATTTGTGGATTTTGAAGATATGTTGAATATGTAAAGTATATGGAAGCATGCCTAATGGCAATTGTCAGTTAAAATTCTACCACGCAAGTATACGTATCGAATAGATAGTATATTAAGCAAGTAGAGTATCGATCCGCAGGGAATTGATCTAAAAGTTTACTAAGTACTAAAATTATTGCAAATTAATCTTATCCAAACAATATCAAAATAATATCAAATCAAACTAAGTTTAGCAGAATTAAATTAAGAAAAATCAAAATAATAAATACTCAAATAAATATCAAAATCAACAAGCCTAGGATTACAATATCCCTCACACTTCATCTAAATCTTACCTCTCTTCCTTAACTTATCTCAATGGTTTGAATGCTAACCAAGAGTCCTAAATTATTTATAAGGGTCTCCCAACTCATCTTATAAAAATATCTATTTTAACCAAAACACTATATCCCTATGTGAATTGAAATTAAAATAAACTCATTAAGTTCAGGCTCTAATTTGGCTACATATGGCCTATAGGTATATCCCTATCCTATACGCAAATCAATTAATATGATCATATGCTATCCCAATTTTAGTCTACACTAAACTCCCTTTCCCAAGTTTGTTTAGGTTTCTAGATCAATTTAATTGGTGGCCATGCAATTAAAAGCATTAAGAACAATTGGAATAACAATTCAAATCCCATTGAAAATAAGCAAGAAAGTGATTAAAAATCTAGATAACATGTGAGTTCAATTGCAATCCTAGAAAAATAAATTAGTTCATAATATCTAATAAGACAATATCCAAAGAATTTAGCCATGAATCAAAGTCAAAGAAATAAGAAAAAAACACAAGGTAAGAGAGAAACTAATAGTTAGAGATGTATGATCTTGATTCTCTCTCCAATTCTCTGTTTCCTTGCTTTGTTCTTGGCTCCAAATCTCCAGAATAGTTTCTTGCTGCCTCATTTGCTGCCTTCTTTGCTGCCTCAAAAATCTCTGAAAAAGTCCCTTAAATAGGCTCCAAATAACCTAATTTTGCGAAATTCCGTTAATTCCTTTATTTTTTTAGGGAAGTCGCGTAGCGCTGCAGCGTTGAGCTCTCTGGAATTTTGTATGTGTGCTTCCTTTCATACAGCTGCAGCCTTGTGCTCCAGCACTGTGGCAGTCTATCAACTTCAAACATGAGTTTCACCCTGATATGTTAAGAACTGGGCAAAGTAGTAAACATAAAAGTTTTATCCCTGTCTCTTAACTTTCTAATGGATTAAAAATCACATCAATTGGACTTCTGGATTGAAAGATTTGCTCCAAATACTGCATCATGTTCAGTCTTTACATCCTGCTGCAGTGGTCCGAATTGACAAATGTTTTGACCATGATCCAATCATAACTGGGCCAATTGGTGAACATAAAATTGTTTCCCTTCTTCTTATAATTTGATTGGTCAAAGAATCACCTCATTTGGAGTTTTCTAGAAAGAGATATGGTCAAAATATTGAAACATAAACGAATGAAGCTATCACCATACTTGCACTGATTTTCTCAAATGAGTCTTTTCATCAATTTCCTACAAAAGCATAGGAAAAATTAGCAATAACTACTCTTAAGTAATTAAAATAAAATAACCTAAAATTTAACTAAAATAACTTAAATTAATCACTTAACAAATAATCAAACTTAAACTAAAAAAACACCTATAATGCTAAAATTCGAACATAAAATCTCAAAGATCTAGCTACTTAAGCCCCAAACAGAGTCAAAATAACTCTATATAATAGAATTATCAGCAATTAGACAAATCTTAGAAAAATATTTAATAAATCTTGAATTTTGAAGTTTAGATATAGATTTGATTTTATATTTGAGTATATGTTTAAAGAATTTTGAGTTATATCAAGGATTTGAAGTGTTTGTATGAATAGAAATGAATTAGGTACTTAAATGAGTGAGTTTGGGATACTTTGAGAAGTGAAAATCTGAGTTCTAGACAAGATCTATCGATAAATGTTCAACTGTTATCGATAGATACAAGGTAGAAGGTCTGGAAAGGCAGATTGGATGAACATTTATCGATAGATTCATCTTGACTATCGATAGATGTCCACTTGGGAACCAAATGAAGTGATCTAAATGAAAACTATCGATAGATCCGTGAAATTTATCGAAAGATTGCCATACGAATTTAATGGAAACCAAATTAAGAAGCATCTATCAATAGATTTGTGGTATCTATCAATAGATAGCTAAAATGGGGAAAATATGAATAGGTCCAATGCACCATTTATTGATAGACTCAATAAATTTATCGATAGATGAAGGTTAATGCCTAAAATATTAATGGGATCAGCTAGAAAATGCAAAATAGAAAAGAAGATTCGAGCCATTAGGCCGTTCTAAAACAAAGCAAAACCCTTCCCCTTTTGACCAGTCGAACACCTTAAGCCCTAAACTTGATTTTGAGTTCGATTGAAGTAGATTGGAGCATGGAAAACCACTCTAGAGGTATGATTAAATGTTTTTACCAATTGATTTTCATTTTAATCAGTTAATAACTTAGAAATCTATTTACTCTAGCTTTGGTAAAATTTTCTCCCTTGAGTTTATTGGGAATTCAGAGTTGAGATTGAGCAACTCAGCCTCTAAGATATGGATTTAAACCCTTGGAACTTAAGATTTGAAACCTAGGTTTTAAGGCTATGAGTAGTTGAAAGAAAGTCTAGTTTGAAAAGCTGTAAACTTTCGAAAGCTAAGAAATTATTATTGTTTTGATTTGTTCAAGGGGAAAATAGAGCTAGTAACTCATTAGTGAGCTAGACAACGGTTGGAAGCTAGGAAGTAAAGCTTGGCTATGGGAATGTCTTCGACCATCATTGTGAATGGGTTCATTTGATTGGATAAAATGCATGTATTGCATCATGCATTGAATAATGAGCTCCCATTGGTATGTGAATAATATATATATATGTAAATGCCATGCCTACATGAATATGCCTATGCTAAAAAATTATATATGTTATATGTGATGTGTATGTGTGCTTTAATGCAAGTCACATAATGACACATGCTTGAACTTAGACTAGGAAGTCTAGCGAGAATGATGAGCTTTTAGGAGTAGTTGACTCTGGACAAGTAATCTCTTAGAGGATTATTAATGTTAGATGCCTTGGAGACTCAAGGGAATTTAGAAATGATATTAAGTAAAGTATAATCCAAAGCTCATTAAGTGTGATCTTTGATGCGAATGGTAAACATAAGTGATATCAAAGGCATGATAGCCTTATTTGAGGATTTGTGTTCCATCCAATGATGAGAATTCTGGATGTGGATTTGACTTGAGGTTGAGCAAAGCCTTATTCCCTATGACTATGATTGGTGCTTGCAAGGATGGTGGAAA